ATCAATAAAAAAACCGTCAATCTCATCAATCAATATCTTAAATCAGTAGCTAAAAATTAGGTTCATAATCTTCATCAAAACAATGGAGGATTTGGAAGGATTACCAGGTGATGCCATCCAGATAAGATTGAAACATGTGTGTGAACCTAATGAACAGTGTGTGAACCTAATGAACAATGTGTGAACCAAATGAACAATTGAAAAATTAGGTTCATGATCTTAATCAAAACAATGTGTGAGCCTAATGAAAAATTGAAACATGTGTGTGAACCAAATGGACATATTGTGTGAACCAATTGAACACATATGTGCACGAGTGAACACATATGTCGACGTTTGAGTGAACATGTGCATGAACGGTTTGATCATTTTCTTCACTTTCGGAATTCGAATTCTGAATGTATTCGTGGACGCTTTTTAGCTTTTTCATTCTCATTGTCGTCGATCTGTTTTACTCTATGATTATCCATATTACTCGGACTATAACGGAATCTTTACAAAAGGGATTTTTTTGAAATTTACAATATCAAAACCATTTTAGGAAGAATGAAATGTAAAAATCAGTAAGATGAACAAATGTGAAACTTCATGTCATTATTACATGTAGATCAATTAGTGATATTTTAAGATTTGTAACTCCTAATTAAAATATTGGGGAGTTACATAAAAATGACAAATTACCTAAATACCCTTACACTTAATATGTGAGTTACATTTGAACATAACTAAAAGATGAAACATGATTGGTTGATGTTGGTTAGCATAGTTAACACAAAAAAATGGGTTAGTATTTGAACCAACCTCTGTATATGTATATGTATTTATACATATGTATATGTAGAGGAGCGATCAAATACAAACAGCTCCATTTTGTACAAACTGTACAAACTAGCATCAACCAATAGCATAATTCCATTTAATTTTTTTTATTTTTAATTCACAAGTGTATGATTGTTCTTTGACTTTATAATAGATAATTTTAGTAATATCTTAATTATGTTTAAATCAGGAAGATTATATAGATTAGAGATTTTTTAGGAAAAGATCAATAAATTTGTTTTTATAATAATCTTGAAACTGGTAAATTTTTAATAGATACTTACTAACATCAATGAAATGAGGTAATTCCAATGAAACATGCTTAAACTGTTCAATGAAATAGGGTCATATATGATTGCATCTGGTTCATATGTATAACAATTGTAATGAAACAAGCTTATATCTATAGGTATGTATAACAGTTGGTAATGAAACATGTTCATATGTATAACAATTGTAATGAAACATGTTCATAGGTCATATATGATTGTATCAGGTTCATATGTATAACAGCTGTAATGAAACAAGTTCATAGAATATGTTTTTCCCCGTTTTGCCCTTCCGTGTCTCCAATATGAATTCCTTTTTTTTTTTACTTTACTTATTTAGTTTGTTTCAATCTTGGTTTTTCATAAATAAAAAATGGATGAATGTGATTAGTTTGTAAGGTTTGTATGAAATAAATGGTTTGCAAAGTAAACCTCCTCTATATATATGTATATATATATGTATATATATATATATATATATATATATACTTAGGGGAGCGTTCAAATAAAAACCACTCAATTTGTAAAAACCGTGAAAACCTCATTTAACCAATCATAATTTTTTATTTTGTTCATTTTTTTGTAATTATGAGAGGTTGATTAACCATTTTTATTGTGTATGGTGTTAATAATGGATATTATCATCTTTATTATTTTAATTTTAGAGAAATACATGAAACAATTTCATTAAAATTTCATTAAATATTATATGAAACAATTTCATAACCATATATGAAACAATTTCATAACCATATATGAAACAAATTCATCAAAAAAAGTATTATATGAAACAATTTCACAAGATTAAACAATTTTATGAAAAAATTTCATAAGATTAAACAATGAAATCGACGTATGAGGGTGATTTGTACGGTTTTTACAAATGAGGGTGATTTTCATTTGATCGCTCCTCTATATACATATACATATATATATATATATATATATATATATAGGAGTGATCAAATGAAAACCACTCTAATTTGTAAAAACCGTAAAAATTACTATCATCCGTCTTAATCTTATGAATTTTTTACTGAAATTGTTTAATTTTGTGAAATTGTTTCATATAATACTTTTTTTGATGAATTTATTTCATATATGGTTATGAAATTGTTTCATATAATATTTAATGAAATTTTAATGAAACTGTTT